CCCCCAAGTGACTGTGATCACGCACAATTTAGCAGGAAGTCCAAGGTGCGAATTTGGTTTCGCAATTACAATAGACGAACGAATCAGACTACCGATGCAACAGAAAACGCCAAAACCAGACACCAGCGAAATGCAGAGCTACAGAACTGCAGCGATAGTATGTATGTATTTTTTAACCGTGGACGACCAGTTTCTCGGTATAGGTGGGCGATGAATCAGCAAAGGTCATCTTGCACATGAAATGGAGGCGTATGTTTTCCGATATCCTGATTAAGGGTCAGAGGTCACTCAATATTGAAACACTCAAAAGGTCGAAAAATGTCAAGGTGAATTGTTAAACTTGATGTATTCAACACGTAACTATGCAGTGAACATGACTACAATGTAGCGAAAGCTAGTTGTTTTGCCCGGGCACTGTGTAGAAATTTCCTAACGTGGATGTTCACCGATGTTCAACTGAAATGGATGCTGTGTTGTTGTTTTTTAGATTAGAAATGTATGCTCACATAAATGTACAATTCCGACGAGCTTATATACATAGAAACTATATTTAAATTTCCGCCCAAATTTGTCTGCACTTTTCTCTTATATTCAATGTTTGGAGCCAACAAACAAAATTGTAGTAAATTCTCACTTCAACTCTAAAAATTCGACTATTTTTGTCCCAAAAAAATGGAAATCTTCTGAAGAAAAGTGCAAACTGTAAAATGTTATTTCTTGCGGTACGAAGTAAAGCCAGAAATAGATGTTTTGGTGGCACCCGTTAGAGGGCGCATTTGGCATACCGCATTGGCTTGTGGTAGTGTATTGTGTGACTTGGTCAGTCTAGGCGTTGCCACGTCACAGCCAGCATCTCGTCAAGTGTGTATTTATTTTATCTCACTGCGTATCATTCTAAATGGAGGACCCGCCAGCTACCTCTAGTGTGCAGCAGCTTCTACAGGAAAATAACGCGCAACATTTGCAGTTGATTAACGCTTTAGTTTCGCAAAAGATGACTTCTTTAAGAGACGAGTTGCAATTGTCGCATAACCTGTCCACTCAAGTCCAAATGGCAGAAATAAAGAAAGTAAAATATGGCATTGTTCCTACATTCAAACGGAAGGCCAATGAAGA